GAAAGTATAGGTATCAAGGAAGGCTTTGGTAATGAGGCTGAACAACATGAATCCAGATAAAGAATACTGAATGATGTGACCTTGCTGGAAGAATGGAATTTGCTCTTTTCTCAAAGACCTAACTGAAGTTGTACAAGAAATGATTTGAGTAAAATGTAACAAACTATTGTCTTTCTTAAATTGTGTACTATATTCCATTATGTGGTAAGCATTTTCAGAGGTGGGTGAGCATACTAAAAGTTATTCTGGGACAAGAGTTAAATGACCTAGTTTTTGCTTAAAGGAGGGTTGCTATGAGTTGAGTGGACGCGACACACTTAACAACAACAACTAGGTTGTATGTTATGATGGGTGGAATACTGAATACCTGACCTCTTTTCTCATGTCACTACCCTTCTATAGCATTGAAGATATAAAAATATTCAACTTTATAATAGTGATCACATTGCTCCAGTGTCTGGGTATAGTTCAGCATCCCTTGTACATATATTAAGAAATAGGATACAGGGAAAACCACTGATGTATTCAAACGGAGCCAGAAAAGTCTAATATCCCTAATCTTTAATTTCATTGTGTTAAATTGTTTTGGATTCTTTAGACCAAGGGTGGGCAACTTTTTTTCTGCCAATATTTATAACATCATTCGTGGACTATACAAAATTATTAATTTAAAAACTAGCCTGCTGTATTTGGAAAAACATTTCATGAACTCACTCCCAATGTGATGGCCTCACAGGAGTCCTGGTGTGGCTGTGCGGATTAATGCACTGGACTGCAAAGTTGCTTTGAACTACAAGGTTGGTGACTCAAGCTCACCAGCCACTCCTCGGAAACCCTAAACAGGGTCGCTGTGGGTCGGAACCAACTTGACAATAACAACAACGTGATAGCTGAAACTATGGTTCTCTTGGTAGGGCCAGACCAAATAATTTAGAGGGCCTTAATACGGCCTGAGGCTGTAAGGTCCCCCCCCCCCCCTTGCTTTAAGGAAGTGAGGCTCAAGTTGGAAACATGGGCACAGTCACTAATCCATGGAATGGTGTTAATGTGATTGTGTAAGCACTGAGCCGTTTTGGTTAGACAATTATACTAGCAGCTAACTTGTACTTTTGGTGAGATCGTAAGCTAATGATGTAGCCATTAATTTGAATTTAGCAGACATTTTAAATATAGGTTTCTCTTACAGAGACAAAAGTTGCAATTTAAAGCTCTTTGGTGGTCTAAAACCAGCATAATTCTGTAGTAGCATGGTAATAAGTACTAATCCAGCTTATACAGTGATTGTAGTATGTCATGTTTGTGAAAGATTGCCTAACTGCTTCTCTGGGTTTTATGTTAATTTAAAAATATTAAACCTAAAACCTTATAACATCTTCATGCTGAGATAAACCGTTCAATTTGACTTGTACTCACCAGCAGCTGTCAGGAATTATCCTGTTCCTAGTGGTTTTTGCTATCACCTTGTGGCCTCTCCTGCTAGAGACACACTGTGGGATGATAAAGCTCACCTTGTTAGGATTTATTGCTTAAATAATACCTGAGGCCAGATGGACACTGGTATCGTAGGGATTACGTTCTGATGGAGTGATGTCATTCAGTGGATTATTATAAACTTTCTTTTTAAAATTGATGGTAGGGAGCAAAGTAAAAAATGCCTATGACTTGGGCCTGCATTCCATTTGTGGGCACACGCACCACTTCTTTTGGGATGTTGTTGAGCTAAATGCTTGAGGAATGTTTCATTGCCTGATTTGGCAACCATTTTAGAAATGAAAATGCAAAGAAAAATGCCTTACATAACTTCTACAATTTAGAAGCAGTGAGGGCATATAAGGAGCCCAGGTGGTATCATGTGTTAAGTGTTGGACTAGTAATGTCAAGGGTGGCAACTCAAACCTACCACCAACTTCATAGAAACATGAAGATGTCTGCTCCCATAAAGATGTCAAATCTCAGAAACCCTAAGGAGCAGTTGTTCTCTGTCTTGTGGAGTTGCTGTAGGGTGCCTCTGAGCTAGAATTGATTCGATGGCAATGACCTTGACTAGGGCCTTTGGAGGGTTATTTGTTATTTCAAAATTCATTGTAAAAATACTGTGAAATTTTTTTCATGGTTTAGCAAACTGAAGGACGTAATGGTGTTGGCTTTGCCAAATAGTTGTTGTTGTTGTTGTTAAGTGCTGTCGAGTCGGTTCCGACCCATAGCGACCCTGTACAGGGTTTCCGAGGGTGTAAATCCTTACGGGAGTAGAAAGCCTCATCTTTCTCCCACGGAGCGGCTGGTAGTTTCGAACCACTGTCCTTAAGGTTCGCAGCCCGATTCGTAACCACTACGCTACCAGAGCTCCTTTTGCCAAATAGTTAATAATGTAAAAATCATTTCCCTTTCCCTTCTGAGTGGATTACCTATTTTACATGTTTGCTATTTTTTGTCTATGCAATATACATATGTAAATTATTATTAGAAATATTTTGGCCGAACCATTTAAGAATTTTTTGCAGGCGTCATGACACTCAATACTTGAATGAAATCATTTGGCATGCATCTTCTAAGAATAAGGGTATTTTCTGATACAACCATAATGTAATTATTATACGCAAGAATTTTAAGATTGGCAAAAGTTTACAGTCTTGTATTTAGCTCATAATCACATTTTCTCTGTTGCCCTAATAATTTCCTTCATAGCTGTATTTTTTTTTTTTTGTAAATCTGGTAGTCAGTCAAGTAGCACACATTACATTTGTTGCTATGTCTCTTTTATTTCCTTTTAATGTAGTTTATTTATTTATTTTTTTACAATACTGATATTTTTGAAGACTCAGCTCTTCAGCAGAACATTTTTCTGGTTGCTTCCTCGTGACAAAACTCTGCCCTGGCATTTTTGGCCAGAATGCTACATTGGTCATGTTGTATTGGTCTGAGAAATACATTACAATATTTTATTCTAATAAGTTTGATTATTGGTTAGGGTGGTGTCCACCAGTTCTGTTATAAAGGTGCCATTCAAAAATATTCATATGTAATATGTGACTGCAGTTAATGAATTTTTGCTGTGTAGAAACATTGAGTTTGCTCAGGTCTTAATGAGTAAGAATGTCAGTCTTTGCTTGCAGTAGTGTGTGGGGAGGAGGGATACATGGGAGAGAGGAAGTATTATTTAGTAACCAGATCCACAACTTGACATTCATTCTCTGTTAAGGAAAATATTGATTGAGATGAGTGCCTTGTTATTCTCCCTGACAACTATCAGATTTATATAAATGCAAATATTATCATTTTTCCGAATTTTCCGTTTAAGTTTTAGAAAGATTTACACTTGGTGATGAGTGGTAGTGAGGGGGCAGGGATATCTTTGGACAGAATAGCACATTATTTGGCCATAGGTTTTTTTTTTTTTTTTTCTGTTTAGTTGAGTGCGAAATAGGCGTCTTATAAAATAATTGTATTTCTTTGGTATGATATTTTTATTTTAAAGAGGTGTGTAACAATAATACAACCATGTGAGTTTAAAGAGACATCTTTGCCTTTTGTCTTATGTGCTTCCTCGTCTAGCACATGAAGAAGACTCTTGGATTTCCGTGTTTGATGTATACACTTACTATGTAATCATTCTTTGTATGTGAAAGGCTAGTGCTGCAGATCATATAAACACCTGAGGTTAACCATTTGGCTTGTCAGCAAGCAAGGATTTAGAGTCGTTTTAATCATGGTAATAGCAACGATGATATTTTGTATTTATTGAGTACAGAAAAAAGCATTGGCAATGTGAGCGGTCCACAACCATTTCATATCCATGGTGTAATGAAAACCTCTTCAGGCTTAGAAGACCAGGAGTTCCTGCTTTGCCACTTTCTACCAGTGTGATCTTAGAAAAAAACTCTTAACCTTCTTGAACCTCATTTTTTAGAATTGGGATTAAAGCCATAAGGGTCAAATGATGCCACATTATGTTATAAAGGTGGCATTCCATCAAAATCATGCCATCTAAATGTCCTCAGCTGCACAGGGACTGTAATTTGTACCTCCTTCGTGTCCATCTATGGTAGGTATCTCATGAGTGAAACGTTTACAGGTTGTCCCAGCCAGTTATTACTCCTTTCTGCTTGCTCCTCTAATGCTTTGTACCTGTCACTGTTGCAATGTCTTGTTAGACTGTCTTGTTCATCTTTTCAGGCCTCCCTGGCTTAAATCTGACACATAGTAGGCACTTAGTAAATACTTGTGGCTAGGGTGAGTAAATAGGCACTTAGTAAATACTTGTGGCTAGGGTGAGTAACTCTCCTTTATAAACATAGATAGGTGAGCTTTCAGTTTTCTTTTATCCCCCGAAACAGAGAATTTGCCTTTCATCATTGTTTAGACGAGTGCTTTATATAAGGGATTTTACAGATTTTACATCTGGTACCATCAGCAATCCAAGGATAGAGAAGAAAAGATAAAATAAAACAAATATTGCAGAATTCTTTTCAAAAAAGAAAAAAAGTGGGGAGAGGGCTGGGTGAGAAAACATGCCAAGAGAAAAAGACCACACTAGATAAGTCTATTGCATAAATCAAAAGGGTTTATGTCATAACATGAACATGTGCCATTCTTGTTCATATATTGAATTTCAGTAGTTGGTTGCATAAAGAAGGAAAGTGTAATGAAACTGGCAAGTAAAGTATTCCCCAGCCAGTCTTATCTTTGTTCCATTTGTCCTTCAGATACAGCTTTTCTTGCCGTTTTCAATAAAATCCATCCGGTTTATTTTTTTATTTTGCATTTCTCAGTAACTGAGCTGAGGAGACCAATGAGATTCTGGGCTTTTATAGTTCTTAGCAGCTGCTTTTTAAGAGATCAAAACTTAGAATGCTGCTCCATTGCATTAAGGCTTAACTATTGATGTGTCCCTGTAGGGGATATGTTTTTCTTGGGCTGGGATGAGGGAGAGTGGAGAAGGGCAAAGGATGACCTCTTCAAGCATGCTCAGTACAGTAAGCCCTAATTTCCTTGTTTCCTAGGATCCTCTTTACAAGCTCAGTGCTTAACCTGACTGAACTGGCTGCCCTTCGGCCTGACCTTGGGAAATTGAAAAAGATTCTCTACTTCCACGAGAACCAATTGGTGTACCCTGTCAAGAAATGTCAGGAGAGAGATTTCCAATATGGATACAACCAGATTCTTTCATGGTAGGTATAGATTTCATCATTATATTTGGTCCATTGCCACCATTTTTTCTTTATAGATGGTTAGCTTTTATGTTTGGAGACCTACCGTGCACCTATTTTTAAACACAACACTTTTAAGGTAGGTGAGAATATATAAACATTTATTTCCATGATAATGTGATAATAAATACTACCACATCAGGTTCTTTTAAAAAATACTTATAGGTTACCATTTAATTATATGTTGAAATAATTATCCAATTTTGTATTTTGCACAACATTCAGAAGATAATCAAAGGCCTGCAGGGTCTTTCACCCTTGACTTCAGGATCTGTTGTTAAGGCTTACATATAGAAAAGAGCAGTTAGTCAACACTGATTTACCTACGATGTTCACTGTATTCAACTAAAATCACAATAGTAAATTACAGAAGAATTAAAAAAAAATTTATTAAAGGCATAACAAAAAAGGGTTTTTGGTCATTAAAAATATTTGTTGTTGTTTGTATACAAGAGAAAACTATGGAAAAACCTCTATAGGTTACTGTCATTGTTATTTTTCCCTCATTGAGTCTTTTGAAATTGTACAGCTTTAACATACCAAGACATTTCAAAAACAAGTGTCCTTCTTCATTGTTACTGCAACAAAGTGTATTTTCTGAAGCTTAGTTAATGAAAATAGTTAATAGTGACTCTGAAATGTTTCCGCTACTGGATCCTGTTCAATAGAACTGTAACAGTATTTGTCTGAACAGGACTGTTTTCAACTTGGCAGTGATTTGGTAGATTTTGCTCACCTTTATTAACAGTTATTAGTATGTGGGATTAATGATGTATTTAAACAGATCCACACTTCTTACAAGTGTGTTCCATAGTTTAGTCGACATAGAAAAACAGTGATACGGTAATATTTCTGTGTTGTGAGCATTTTGTAAATGTTTTCTTGTAATCATTTTTACAAGCTGCTAAATAGCAGTGCTATCAAAATAGAGTGAAATGGCTTTACTTTAAATACCCCATAAAAAAAAGCAACTGTTTTAAAATTTCACAATAAAATTAAAATACTTTATTTCACATTGAAACAGAAAGGAAATATATTTTGAATACAAAAATAAAATCATTTTGTGCTTTATCAATATGGGAAAAATTTGTAATCATCTTTTGATTTTTTGACTTGTCATCCTTCTTTTCTACAGCTAATGTGTACTTATTACTCCTGGGAAATCACTTGGGGCAGGGGAATGGGGGATGGTCCTTTTTCCCCTTTATGAGTGAGTTTTAAAGTAATGAAAGTTACACCCACTCACATCAGGGATCAAATTTACCAAAAAGAATATAGCTGTAAACTATCTTGAAGCTTTAATTTAGCATAGACAGATTGTATAAGATTACGAAGACAAACATCTCAAAGTTTTTACCTAACTGCCCTCATCTCTCTCTTTGAGAAGGGATTTTTTGGTTCCTAGGAAATGAGACTATAAAACTTGTACGTGATATTTTTCAGCATTGACATTCTTGAAAGGGTAAACTGATAGACAAGCTTATATAGAAAGAAGTGGACTTGATCATGTGTTAGCTTCATAATGGGGAAAAAATGGTTCACAGTTGTCCAGAGGAAAAATAAGACTGTCAGACTCTTGCTTCCTCCAATGTTTCTTTAGTTTTCTTGCTGACTTCTGCTTTTGTTGGCACTGTCAGAATTTTTCTTGACTGTGTGGCAGTTACGGACATTAAGGATGACTGACATACGTGCTCACCTTTAAATAGAGGTCTCACTGACCCTTTGACTTATGAACACATGTCACAGCTATGTATTATGACCTTTGGGTCGCTATTACAATATGTGACATATGGTGAAAACAGACTATCTGTAAAACATTCTTCAACTTTTGGTATATTATATTGGCTTCCTTATTGCTTGGTGTTAACTCAGCACTTTCATGACATTTTACATTTTTTTTCTATTATCTACATTGTAATCATCCCATGCCCAAAATTTGTACTAGGTTGCATCTGGAAAAAAAAACAAACAAAAAACAAAAAACCCCAATTTGTATGGAAAAGCAATTTTGGGGAGGGTCCTTGTGTTCTGCAGTCTTGTGAATGTACATGCCCTCTTTTAATTTTTTTGATCAATCATTTTTTAGGGTAAATAAAATGAATGGTTTTGTATATTTAATCTCACATGCCTTCATTATTTTTCCCTGGTTTGTGAGCCACACGGTTGGCAGTTCTAGCACACTCTAGTGACTTCACAGGATAAAGGTGGGAATTTCTGCTTTTGCAAATATCTATGCCTTAGAAACCCTATACAGGGTTTCTATAAGTCAGAACCAACTGGATGACACAAACAAGAACAGCATGGTAGTTCTATGTTCAATGTTTATTTTTGGAAATCTTTTATTGTGAACTGAGTGAGGGTTTATGGAAGAGATCATCAGTTTTACGTTCAATACGTCATACACTTTGTTTCTTCTCAATGGTTGTATTCCCATCCATGAAACAACAGCTATCCCACTTCTTCCCTGTGACTCCTATTTCCATTCCACCTTCTTTCCCAGACCACCTCAACTTTGTCTTTGGGGACATGCTGCCCTTTTAATCTTGAATGGTTGAACATTCCATGGTGAGATGCCTCACCAGTGTTGTTAGCCTCTCATATACTGATTAGCTGAAAATCCCATGAGCATGAGTTCCATTCCAGACCCGAAGAGTGACTGAGTGTTATAATCTCAGGTAGCTCTCATTTCTTTCTGACAAGTAAATCCGGTGGTGTTTTGTGCTTTTTGTTAGTGCATATAAAATTTTGAGTGTTATTCCACATTTCTCTCCCACTCTATCTAGGACCACCTTCTTATCAAAACATTTATATGTATTTCATTGAGATTCAGTAGCACTGAGTGGATTATCTTTAAAAATCCAGGAAGTGATTCATTAGATCAACTTTTTAATTCATAAAGGATCATCTACATATTTGGGCTTTATCCCCCTTACTCATGTTTGTTATGTGACTTTTTTTGGTTTCCAAAACAACTTACAGTTAATTCTTAAAATTGGTGACATAGTTATGGACACAAAAACTGTTTTCAAACAAACTTAATAAATATTTGAAATGATTTGTAATAAATAGAAATATTAAAGAAGAATGCAGTCCATTAGTCAAAAAACAGTAATGCTGTCACATTTATTTTATTCATGATGTTATGCCCTTTGCTCTGTGTGTTATCAATAGAACCTCGTGATTTTTGTTTTCTTTGATTGTAGGGGACTCTAGTTAGTGATTTTGATTTCTGGATCTGTTTTCATTAATTCTACTTTCCTGACTAAGCTGAATATAATATTGAATTAAGTTATTTGCAGAGATAGATTATAATCATAATTATTTAGTCCCAGAGATTTTAGAAATGTAAGATCTTTGTTGGAGAGAGACAGAATAGGGAATAGACGTTAATTAAATAGTGTTGAGTCCTGGTATAACATTGTAAGGTTGGCACGGGACCACAAGGTCATTTTGAACCATAAATCGGTGGTTCAAACTTAGCAACCAGTACTTAAAAAAACCCTATACAGGTTGCTATGAGTAGGAACTGACTCAGTGGCACTTAACAACATACATAAATATAGAGACAATGAAATTTAAATTTCATGTATTTTGGAGTCCTGGTGTGGCACTGTGGATTAATGTGCTAGACTGCAAAGTTGGTCTGGACCACAAGATCAGCAGTTCAAGCTCACCAACCACTCCTTGGAAACCCTACACAGGGTCTCTCTGGGTTGAGACTGACTCAGTAGCACTTAACAACAACAAAAAATGATGTTGACCATGTCATGGTTTGGGATGGAAATAACTTTATTTCAATACATTTTCTTGGAGTTAGTAAAAGGTAAGCAAATTTCTCAGTAGTATTTTGCTCAAGGCTGTTGACCACTGATACAGAAAGCCAACATGGGTAGATGAGACCGCCCCCCACACACATTCCTGCTGTATGTATGTACTGTTGTAACAGAACGTGTCTGGCATTGTGGAAATTTATGCTTTGAATTGAAATCTTACGTGATTCTATTCATTCATTTAATTACTCTGCTTTTATCCCATTCTGTTCCCTGTCTATCTTCTCATGATATAACACTAATGAAACTAACTATAAGAGGCATTTTGATAAATAATTGTGTCAAACGCCGAGTTCTTTGAAAACCTAAGGTTCAGTATAAACGTTGCTTAATATACAGATCTCCCAAGGTTGTAAAATAGTTTTGAATGAATATAGACACATCATTTGAGATCATGTTTTTTCCCTTTGTAGCCTGGTAGCTGACGTGGTGGTATTCAACTCAATGTTCAATATGGAGTCATTTCTCACTTCCATTGGAAAGTTTATGAAGCTGATTCCGGATCACAGACCCAAGGATCTCGAAAGCATCATCAGACCCAAGTGCCAAGTTATTTACTTTCCCATTAGATTTCCTGATGTGAGAAGGTCAGTATGTTTAACACTGTTCTCAATGCTATGTTGTAAGTTATTCTCTAAATGTATAGAATTCAGTGCTTTTTCTTGGAAATTTTTAACTTTTCAGTATTTGTGTGGTTCATTAATCTATTTCTATTTTACCATGCTGTGATTTACAAAGATTTTAAATAATCATTGAATATTATTGTTATTGTCAATTCTGACTCATAGCAACCATGTATAAGGTTTCCGAGGGTGGCTAGAGGGTTTGAACTGCTGACCTGTGGTTACCAACACAGTGCTTATCTTACAGCTCAATCACTGAGTTCCTGTCATAAGTGCCACCAAGTTGGTTCTGACACATAGAGACCCTGGGTAGTGTTTCCAAGGCTTTAAATATTTGTGGGAGAAAAAAAGACTAATGTTTCTCCCATTGAGTACTCGGTGGGCTCTAGCTGCTGACCTCATGGTTATCAATCCAGTGCTTATGCTACAGAGCTACCATGCTTCCCATCACTGAATACTTAGTATCAATATTAAGTTCTTTCCTCTTTTTATTTATTTACTTGCCAAAACACTTCCTGGGGGTTTCTTTCTTTGTGTTTTTGTTATGGATGTCATTGTTAAATATTATCTCAACCTTTGCTTTCAGTGTGTACCCATTGGTTCATTTGTAACTGTCCCAAGTAAATGGACGTTGAATCTCATTGCTTGTATTATTTTCATCTTCCAGAGTGTTTTCTTCTGTTTTTTTCCTTCCTCTGACTTTTATTATTTATAATATCTTAATCAAGAGTTAAATCTTCTATATTAAGTTTCAGATGCACTCAATAATTATTATTTTTCTTTCTTAGTTACTACAAAGACATTTTTTATTAGCCTTGTTGTTGGGCCTCTGAATTATCAATGGATGATGTGGCTCAAAGGGAACATTCTGGAATTACTTTTCACTTTTGATTAAACCTAGCAAAATTCTTTTTTACTACCACAAGGAACACTTCTCTGTGGTGAATAGAAAATTTACTTCAATGGGACTGTCTCTAACTGGGGATGCTGGTGTTTTGTAATTGATGACATGTTTTAAGAGTTCAGGGACAGCTGTTATTCCCCAGCTCTGCAATGAAGGCAGGAAACAATTTAGTGTCCATATATACCATGCAGGTGGTCAGAGTGGTCTCTGTACTCTGTCCTTACTGGATTCCTCCCGGTTTTGCTGCAGGCTAGTGGTCCTTATCCACACCAGTGATATTACATTATCTGAGTGTCTCATTGATTAGTATTTCACTGAAAAATAATCTGCCTCATACCAAATCACGTTGTTGGTGGTGGTTATGTGCCATGGAGTAGGTTTGATTCATAATGACCCTGTATAGGGTTTCGGAGGCTGTAAATCTTTATGGGAACAGAAAGCCTCATCTTTCTTCCGCGAAAGAGCTGGTAGCTTCAAACTGCTGACCTTGAGCAGCCTGACTCGTAACCAGTCCACTACCAGCGCTCCATAATTTAAGTTATATCACCATGCCCACTTTTACTTCTGGGGTTCAGAAGACAGAGCCCCATGGAAGAACAGAGACCGGCTTGCACTCACTTTGTCGATTGTTGTCACAGAGTAAATTATGCTTTAGATTGTCTGACTTCCAATTCGACTTTATTTCTGTTGCTCCAGCTTCTGGTCAAATAGATCGTTTGTCGGAAGCAGTTAATGGTTTATTTGGAGTTTTGAAAATCTTAAAACTAAGTGGAACTATATGTGCATATATCTAAGTTTTTCTGAGTGTGATGAGAGAATTTCAATTTTAAAAATAAGTGTTATATTTTATACCTATTATTAGCTAGAATACAATTAAATGTTGGCAGGTTTTTAAAAAACATAAATCTTATTTTTTGACATAATTTTTTCATAGAATGCACAGGCAAAGTGTACGTTTCTAAGTGAGGAGATGGTTGTAGCCCATCTTAATTGTTACAACTATAAACTTTTAAAAATAAATTATGTATTTTAAAATTTATTTGCATCTAATATGTTTCTATCTCATTGCCTGTTTGATATACCTGTGGTGATTAAATAGTTTATTAATTTGGGGTATATTACCATGAAGAAATCTAACTAAATAGAATGAAGTAAAGAAATATTATGGCAAAGACAATATTCCTAAGTAAGGTCTTAGCCCAGAGTGTTATTTAAATTATTTTCAGATGGTAATTTGCTTTGTCCAACCTGAACTCATATAGTGAAAATATGTGATTAATTAATGCTTGTAATCTTGAAAAAGTTTTGTTATTTTGAGATGTTGAAAAATATCTAGTAATTGCAAAGGCTAAATAATTAAGGTGATTTTAAAAAATCACACTTTCGAGTACTTCTATTCTTTTTCTTTATGTTGTTGTTGTTGTTGGTGGTGGTTATGTGCTGTGGAGTCAGTTCCAACTCATAGTGACCCTGTACAGGGTTTCTGTAGCTGTAAATATATACGGGAGCAGAAAGCCTCATCTTTCTCACACAGAACAGCTGGTAGTTTCGAACTGCTGACCTTATGATTAGCAGCCCGACTTATAACCACTATGCTATTGGAGTGCCTTTCTATATACATATATATGAATAAATGAATTTAAGGAAAATGAAGTGGAATATAGTGTTGAATTAATATGGTGTGGTGCTGAAGGAACAGCACTGAGCTGCGAACCACAAGGTCAGAAGTTCAAATGCACCAGTGTCTCCTCGGAAACTCTATACAGGGTCTCTATGAGCTGGAATCCATTTGACAGCACTTAACAAAAACAAAAACAAAAATCTTCACTACTGAACCAATAAACAGCATTCTTATCAATGAAGAAGAGATTGAAGTTGTCAAGGACTCATTCTTCTTGGATCAACTATCAACACTCGCGGAAGTAGCAGTCAAGAGATCAGACGACGTATTGCACTGGGCAAATCTGCTGCACAGGAACTTTTTAAAGTGTTGAAGAGCAGAGATGTCAGCTTGAGGACTAGGGTGCGCCTGACCCAGGCCATTGTGTTTTCAATAGCCTCATATGGATGCGAAAGCTGGACAGTGAATAAGGAGGATCGTAGAGGAATTGATGCCTTTGAGTTGTGGTGTTGGAGGAGAATACTGAAAGTGCCATGGACTGCCAAAAGAACCAATAGATCTGTTTTGGAAGAAGTGCAGCCAGAGTGCTCCTTGGAGGCCAGGATGGCTAAGCTTCGTCTCTCATACTTTGGACACATTGTCCGGAGAGAACAGTCGCTGGAGAAGGATGTCATGGTGTGTAAGGTGGAGGGTCAGAGAAAAAGAGGAAGACCCCCAACGAGATGGATCAGCCAGGTGGCATCATTGATGGCATCAAGTGTGGCGGCGGTAGTGAAGTTGGCCCAGGATCGGACATTGTTTCGTTCTGCTGTGCATGGGGTTACTATGAATCGGTTCTAACTCGATGGCACCTGACAACAACAACACCAACAATAATCATTATATATGGAATCCTAGTGTGGTGCTGTAGGATAAGCACTGGACTGCTAACCATAAGATCAGTGCTTCAAACCCACCAGCTGTTGTTCCTTGGAAACCATATACAGGGTTGCTATGAGTTAGAACCAACTCGATGGTCAAAAACAGAATAATATATAATAATAACTGACCTTGCTGTTAGCAGTCCAGTGTTTATCCTACAGTGCCACACTAGGACTCCGTAATAGTACATTGTTGTTGTTGTTTAGTGCTATGGAGTCAGCTCCAACTCATAGCGATCATGCTTAGGTTATCCGAGGAGCGGCTAGTGAGTTTGAATCACCGACCTTGCAGTTCAAACCAACCTTGCAGTCCAGTGCTTATCCTACAGCACCACACCAGGATTCCATTGCATCATATTATAATATAATAATAGTAATGTGTATAATAATAGGTTCTTATTAATATATAGCATGATATATTAATTATATTTGGTACCTTGAGTTGCTCCCTGTTGCCCTTCTTGTCCTTCCCATGCCATACTCTCAAGGACTAGAAAAATAGTAGCAGGAGAGATATACAAATGACATGTAGTAAACATTTGGCATGTCCGGGTGACACAGTGTATCATTAGAAATATATCAGGAAAAGCTCTTGTACACTGGAGGCATACATGCATGTATTTTAGTCTTTGCCACCAATTACTAGCTCTGTGACCTGTGTAAGCGTAGTGATTCTATATATTGTTTTTTAAATGGTTATAGTTATATTTAACCTTCTATGACATTTCTTCTTGTTGTTAGGTAGTGTCAAGTCAGTTCCAACTCATAATGATACTACATAAGGATGGTACAGTGGCTAAATTCATAGCACCCTCGTGTTTAACAGAGGGAAACGCTGCTTGGTCCCGTGTCACCTTCACAGCCATTTCTATGTTTCCGTCCACTGTTGTAGTCTCTGTGTCAATCCGTTTCATTGAAAGTTTTCTTCTTTTTATCTGGCTCTCCATTTTACCAAGCATGAAGTCCTTCTCCCGACACTGGTCCCTTCTGATGACATTTCCAAAGTGAGATGAAATCTCGCCATGCTCACTTTTATGGAGCTTTCTGGCTTTACTTCTTCCAACATAAATATGCTTGCTCTTTTGGCAGGATATGGTATATTTAATATTTTTCACCAACATTGTCATATTCAAATGTATCAGTTCATCTCCAGGCTTCCTTATTTATTGTCCAGGTTTTGTTTGCATATGAGGTCATTGAAAATACCATGATTTGGGTCAGGTTCACCTTATTTTTCAAAGTAACATCTTTTCTTTTTAACCTTTAAAGAGAACTTTTGCAGCAGATTTGCTCAACCCAATATGTTATTTGATTTACTGTCTGTTGCGTTTATGGGTGTGAATTGTGGATCCCAGTTAAATGAAATCCTTGATGACTTTGAACTTTTCTATTTATCATAATGGTACTTATTCAACCTGTTCTGACCCAGAGCTACGCTATATAGGGTTTCTGAGGAGCAGCTGCTGAGCTTGAACCACCGACCTTGCAGTTCAAATGGCTTTGCAGTCTGGCATATTAA